ACTTTGTACCTTTAAGAACCCAACCTTCAGTACCCATTTTTACTTGGGAGCGAGATCACTGGCCTGCGTGCTCCCTCCCACTTTGGACTCTCCGTTTTCTCCACCAGGTCGCCTCTATCTCCCCCCTTCTCCTTTTCTTCTCCACCCAACTCAGTGAATCTCTTTTTGTGTTCCGGGCTGTGGAGAACACTCAGGGAAGTGATTACTGGCTGGATCTGTTTCTCTCCTTTTGATTCCCCTTTTTATCCTCCTGGCCACCTCTGTCTCCTTCCTCCCTCTCCTCTTCTCTGTGTAACGCCGAAGCTCTTCAAGGACATGGAAAGTTCTAGAAAGTTCCCCGAGTTGGCAGCTTCCAGGATGGAGGGAAAGGGCAGCACGTAGGATGTCACTCAACCGTGCTAACCGGCCAGTTAGCCTCAGAGTTTCCACATGTGCAAAAGCCAAGAAAACTACACAGACACATCACTCCATTGTACTGTTCTCGAGTTGAAGGCCTATCTCGAAAAACAAAGAGAAAACATAAAACTTCCCACTAACAAGTGACGTGTTCAGATGTAGAAAATAGTAAGGTGGCCTTCCCTCTTCTGGCAGAAATCCAGTGGGTTTGAGGGGCAAGAGAGCTCGTCCCCAGCTAGTGTCCAAGGTTGGGGGTGGGAGGTGCACAGACCCTTTAAGAGCTGTGTGTTTCTGTGTCTGTGTGTGTGCACACATGCATGTGTGCGTGCATGTGAGAAGGTCCCCAAACTGTTAGAGGCTCCTCGTGCCTTATCAGCAGGGCTGTTTTCATTCAGGCACTTTATCAAGCAGCCTGTGCTTTTCCCACCACCCCCGGATGCTTCAAGGCCTCCACATTGGCTGTGAAAAGGCGCCCATTGACCTGCCGTCAGCTCTGCTTCTCTGGCCGTGGACTCCTGACTGCAGCAAGGTGTGGGGTGGGGCAGTGGCCCAGGCTCCCGAGAAACCCAGACGTCCCTCCCTGGGACCAGCCAATCACCTTAATGGGGCGGGCGGTGCAGGTGGGTGCATGATGGGAGAGGCAGAGGATGGGGGACTGTGATGGGAGGGGCCTGTGGGTTGTGGTCACTTCTCTACAGTCCTTTACAATGGTGAGAAGATATTTCACTCTCATGGGACCTCACCCTCTTCTGCCCCACACCTCCTCCCTCGTCTCCCCCATCCTGGCTGTGAACACAGGAAACACATGACACCTCAGGTCCTGCCTCCCTCCCTCCACAGCCTCACTGAACACTGGGACCCACTGGGACCTCCCAGACAGCAGTCTGGACAGCGCAGGTGGGCATGGGCTTGATCACCTTCTCAGGACACCTAGTTTCTCAGAGCTCCCTCCGTCTGTTCTGACAGGTCCACCCGATGTGCTGTCTGGGTGCCTGTTCTCAGCTGCCTCCACGGTCAGAATTCTTATGGATTTTGTGCTTCTTGGGGAGGACAGTGCAGCAGGAGCTAAGTGGAATCCTCTTTCCTGCCCTAGCATTGGGCTGGGCCATATGGGGGTGCCTCTTCAGGAGTCCCCCACTTTATCTTCCTCACACTGGTGAGCCCGAGAGGCTTGGTGTCCAGATAGAGCCTCGAGATCACACATCCATGCAGGTAGACACTAGAGGAGGTGGTCCAGCCATCGTGGCTCACAGATCTCAGATTTTTTCTGTGTAACATGCTGGGAGTGGGCAGGAGTGGTGGTTGAAGGCACTGGCCCTCCGTCCATGCACTTGCTCAGTGAGCAGGAGTCCAGAGAAACTGAAGGAAGCAGGAGACCCACCTGGCCTCCTATCACCTGGCCGCTGTTTCACAGTCTGGTGTATATGCCAGAAGGAAGGCACTTTCCTGCTGGAAACCCTGACTGCAGGAGTACTTAGGGTCAAGGACCCCCAATCTGTGCATCACGGCCCCCTGGAAAGTGGTGTCACCCACACGATGCTATGCCTGGGGAAAGGAGGATTGTGTCCAGGTCATGTCCCAGGCCCCATTCTTGGCTTTCTCTTCATTACATTTTTGAAATTAGTAAAACTTGGATTCAGGAGGCTCTCAAGAATCCGATGTGCCAGTCTGATCTGTGTGTCTGCTCACTTGGGCGAATTATTAAATGTTTCTCAGCTTACAAAACGGGGATGAAGATGAGAGTGAGATAACATTTGTAATGGAGTTTGCTTTGAAAACTAAAGAAATACCTTTTACTTCGCCTCACACGCACCTCCCTTTGCTCCTGATCACTCCTGATTCTGAGCCTGAGGTTCCTCATGAGAGCCTGAGACAGGCGGATGGTTCAATGAAAAGTTACTGAAACACTAGATGAGCTGGAGAGAGTGGATTGCCCACATTCCTTTAATAGATGAAGAGCCCAGGCTGAAGGACTGGGTGAGGACATTTACCTTCGGTGAGAATTTGCCCCATCCATGGTATCTGGGATGAAGGCTCACTGCTTTAAGGTACAGGGAAGACACAGGCCTTGGTAAAACACTGACAAGGAAGAGAATACTCAAGCAGCATTGGTTTAATCCATAAGAATATTCAGATGTACTTAACATGAAGTCTGGGGATGGGTGATGCTAGGGCCAAGTCAGCATTTCAGGGCTAACAAGTTTCCAGTGCTGTGGCTTTTCCTCATTATCACAGAATGGCTGCCTGAAGCATTGCATCACACCCTCATACCACACAGCATCCAAAGACAGGATGCAAAGTCCGTCTAGGACAGCTAGAGGGAGCTCTTCTCCCACCAAGCGGTAAAGCCTTTCCCCAGAGTCTTTAGGTAGATGCCCCCTCTGCTTCATGGGCCAGAAAGGAGACCTGCTTCTAACTGACAGAAAGGTTGGGAAAGTGAGTCTTTCCATCATTCTTTATAGGGTGGGGTCAGGGAAGAAAGAGGGAAATAATGGATGGTAGTCATGGGGAAATGGGCCTGCTGTGTCCTGGGAGAAAGCCCTTCTCTCAGGGGCTGGGGAATATGGGGAGAACAAGGAGCAGGGGGCAGACCGGCTGGGCTTCAAGAAGGCTCCGACGAGGTCCCAGACTGGCCCGTGGAAACCCAAAAGACTCCCTCACTCCACAGCTGTGGGTGCTTGGTCCACTCCCCATCATCCACCCCAGCTCTAAAGAGGGGCAGGAAAGTGGGGGAGGGAGAGGAGCAGGAGACTGGCTACTTAGCCCAGGGACCACAGTATTACCTACAGAAGCTGCATAATTTACCATCACACACCGCATTTCCAAAGGGGCCAACTGCATAGTTGGTTTTCACCTCTCGCTAGCAGGCAAAGATGTTGAAAAAGATCAGAGATGCTACAGATTAAAAAGAAAACAAGCCCACATGTTTCTTCATGTTCTCCAGGGAAGGAAGGCTACAGCGATCCTCACGGCACGTGTGCTAGTGCAGGTACACGTCTGCTGCTGCTGTGTGTGTGTCGGGGGCCCCACCTTGGCTTTTTCACGAGTGCCGTGTATCTCCTGGCGCCTGGAACATCTGTGCATGCTTGCCCTGGTGGCCCGGGCTGAGGGTGGGTGACAGATCTTCTGGTAAATTTGGAAGTCACGCCAAAAGCACAGTCCCCTACTTCCTGGGAATCAGCTGGCTCTGGAGGGCCAGAGTGCTCCCAGGGCTCCAGGGACCCCAAGGTCAAGCACCTGGGAGGGGAGGAGGTGTCCAGGAGCGGGGCTGGCTGGGCTGAGCTCCCTGGAGCAGGGCTGAATGCCCAGGGTGGATGGGAGGTGGGGGGTGTTTTTCTTGTTCCCACTGAGCAAGTGGGGTTGGGGGGGCAGCACTGCCCGCCTGGGTGGGCGCGTCTACTCAGGTCCAGGCAGGTCCGATTGGCTCCCTTCAGTCTTCCTTGTGTCTGTGACGAGGGGTCACTGGGGGCTCTCGACTCTTCCTTTTTGTCCTATTTTCCAACTCAGATTTCAAGGTTGGGGAGCCAGGTGTGTGTGGGAGTTTCCTCAAGGGGTCAACTCATGCTGTCCTCTGCAATTGTTTTTATTATGAGCATGTTCAGACTCTTTGCTATGGGTTTTATCTCCTAAGTGAGTTTCCCTGTGAGGGAAGTGAAGAAATTGCAAGGCAATTTTTGTTACCATAATGAATATGTAAAGAATGTGATAGAATTGGAGCCTGTTTTCATGATTTGACAAGGGCATGGGCTCACGTTGATTCTTTGAGGCTTTTTAACCTGATGGCCTGGTGCAGGACCCCGATGGCTGACATCCACCAAGACAACGTAACAATGTTACAAGTCACGGTCTCATCTGGCGCAAGATAGCCTGAGTTAATGTGTAATCCACACGGAGAACCCAGAGGCACAAGTGTCGCATTTCTCTTTCAAAGAAGGGAAAATTGTTTACATTTTTATAAGAAGTGCAAGCAGAGAGGAACATTCATGTCTTTTAATTTTTAGGCTAATTTGGAATACAAAGAATCTGAGCAGTCAATCCAGGCGGTGAGTTCAGGTTCATAGGACCCCAAGACATCCGGCCAGTGATGGAGCTGAGCCCCTGGTACCAGGCAGATGTTCTTTTCACCCCAATGCCATTTCCACCAGAAAAGCGTCTAAAACTCGCACTCTGCAAGGGTGAAGTGTCCGAGAGAAGAGATGCATTCATGAGAATAAGTATTTTCTTTCACTTTTAAATAATCACAGAGAATTTACTTAAAAACCTCACTGGGAAAATTCTTTAGAAAACAAGGATGGTCTTTGTATTGTAATTGTCATTCTTTCCAAGCCCCCAACCCAAAGTGAGCAATGAAGCATGACCAAGGACAACTCTTCACAGATCCATGGTTCAACATGTGAAGAAAAGCCAGGAAAAATAGGGTGCCCCACCAAACAGGTCTTCCAGCTCTTTCCATCCCCCAGCCCTGGATTCACACTGACTTAGGCAAAACTACATCTTCCTAGTCACCCCGAGGCCATGACTCTGGGTAAAGACACAGCTGGCAACTTGAATTAGGGCCCCATGGTCCCGTGTATTCAGACTCTGTGGGGTTGACAAGGCCCTACCTTCCTCCGAGTGCACAGAATGGAAGCACCACGGGACTCCACGGACTGTGCTATCAAAGCAGCAGCCTTTCTCTTCACAGTCCTTCGCCGTGATGCCAGAGTAACCGCAATTCTGTCTTTGATGGGGTTCCACCTGACACATCTCTGAAAGGATATGGGCCAGGAGGTGAAAGTAAGTCATGAGCTGACGCCTTCCCTGTTATGACCCACCCTCCACTTTGCCTCCTTCCCCAGTTAAATCAGCCATCAGACGAGCAGCCCATGGAGACCCAGCTCACTTACTGGTGCGGAGCACTGAAACTCAGGAAAAATGCAAGGTGTCCAGGATTCAAAGACTTTGCACCTACCCAGGCAATGTACCCATTTGCTCATTAATGTCAATGAACAATTATTAAACTTTAGTCACTAGATGAGTAAATATCTGTTGAGCACTCTTTGTGGGTGCTAGAAACTGGAGTTAGCACGGGACACAGACAGGAATCTTTTTATCCCCTCATAGATCAAGTTCACACCAGGCCCCATGCTGGGTAACAGGGACCCAGAAATTGAAAATAGAGAAGCTGTTGTTGAGAAGCTGACAGTCTGATGGAGGAGGAAGCCAAGTAAGCAGACAAAACAGCATAGAGCAGCCAGCCACAAGGCAAGCCCAGCAGGGGTGATTGATTACAGACTGAACACAGTGAAGAAGGCTTCCTGTTGGAGGAGGCTGACCAAGTAAGACCGAGGCAATGGGTGTTCCAAGGAGAGAGAGAGCAGAGTGTTCAAAGGTGGTGAAGAGAGAGAGCAAGGTGTGTTCCAGGTAAGAGGGGCAGGCGGGTGGGGCGGTGCAGGGAAGGCAGGCTGAGGGCTGGGAGTGGATGATTGCAGCTCTAGAGCTCTGGAGCAAAGAAGCAGCTATCCTCAGAAGCTCTAGCCAGGTACGTGAGGCCATTGAGCCAAGGCAAAGAACACGCAGGGGAAGATGGGCAGCTAGAAGTGCCCACGTGATCTAGATGCAAGGCCTGTGGGGTCAGGACTTGGGGCTCTGAGAAGGAGCGCTGCTCGGATCTGGTGGTGGACAGACTGATGCAGGGGCAGAAGAGTCTGAAGCCCCTTCTGTCTCTTGGGGGTGGGAATGGAGAATGGGGGGCTCCTCTATGCACCTGGTCTCGGGGTGCCCATGGATGAGGGCCATCAGCCAGGTTCCAGAGAGCAGCCTGGCTGTGCACTCCACTCCCAGACAACAGTCTGTCCGTGGAGCTAGAGGGACGTGCAACGAGGCGTTAGGAGTGTGGGTGATAAAGAGACGGGAAGGGAAGGAGCCCTGACAGAAGAGGGAAGAGAGTCAGAGAGGAGGGCAGGACCGAGATCCAGAGCAGATGTTGTCATGGGCTGGCTTTGAGCTAAGGTATCGCGCTCATTCTAAAAGACAGTCCAGCTAAAGACAGGGAGATGCAGGGCCTCTCCTAGACTGAGGGGCAGAAGGCCACATTTGTCCCCCATGGAGTCCAGCTGAGTGTCCTAAATCAGAGCCCATCACACAACCTGATCTTTGTAGGGCTTCTGTCTTAACATAGAGCAAATGTGGTTATCACCCACTCCGCTAGGCAAGGCGGTGGGAAAGGTCAAGACATGCTATGTAAGCAGAGCTGGGACCACAGTTCTCATGTCCTTTCTCTCCCTAGAAGAGGGGAAGGGGGCTACTTGGTTGGGTAACCTGATCCTCCCCACCGCCCCCGCCGCACCATCTGCTATCCTAAATAGGAACTGAAGTTCTCCAAGGGTTCTGTCCACAGGAGTCTCCCTGGCCCACCATTTTCTGTTGCATAACAGGATTAGACAGAAATGATTTCCATCCAAGTCTACACATACACTGGCACCCCATTCCAGTACTCTTGCCTGGAAGACCCCATGGACGGAGGAGCCTGGTAGGCCACAATCCATGGGGTCGCTAAGAGTTGGACACGACTGAGCAACTTCACTTTCACTTTTCACTCTCATGCATTGGAGAAGGAAATGGCAACCCACTCCAGTGTTCTTGCCTGGAGAATCCCAGGGACGGGGGAGCCTGGTGGGCTGCTGTCTCTGGGAGTTGCATAGAGTCGGACACGACTGAAGCGACTCAGGAACAGCAGCAGCAGCTATACTACAATTGGATGGAGTTTTCTGTTGTCACAGGATGGCTGACCTGTGAGATCCACAGAGAAAGGCTGAGCCTGGGGCCCCAGGGAAGGGCCAGTGGGTAGCCAGCAGCAGCCTGGAGAGTGGGGAACAGGGCTGGGCTGCACAGCCTCCTGGAGCCAGGCTGTGCAGTGGGCAGAGCTAGGCGCTAGGCTTGCAGGGAAGATGCAGATGGGCTGGTGGGTGCAGACGGCCAGGCACAGACCACCTCCTCCATCCCCACAGCAGGTCATACCTCCTTTCAGGTCCAGCCTGCTCCCTCCTCCTTACCTTAGATTGTGGGGCCCCCTCCCCTGAACCTCCACACCTGATCCTTTGTTTCTGAGTCGTGATGTCCTTGGAAGGAGCCCAGAGACACATGGGAACTGTCCTTTACCTCCCTTCAAACCTCTATGGGAATCCTCATTTCAAAAATTTTGAAATATTCTTCTCCTGCCCCCTCCATTTAAAAATATATCTACCAGTAATAAATAATGTTTATATGGCACTTTGTAGCTTTTCCCAAATACCACTTAATTTTGTGACAACCTTCTAAAGCTGAAGACTGACTCCGTTGTGCAGAGAAAAGATTTGAGACAGACACATTGAGAGGAGGCAGTGGGACCTCCCGCCTTCAGACCCTCACTTGGTGATGCCCATGGACTGGGCACTGACAGGACACACAGACCAGTGGGACAGGGTCTGGGTTCCAAGGAGCATGGGGCCCAGGAGCCCACGGCACCTGTCGGAGGGGTTCCCAGAGACAGTGACCCTCGGAACAGGCTCTCGGATGTTTGTGTGGGACCGTGAGTGGGTCCAGCCCCAGGGGGCAGAGTTTGGCTTGGACATTTGGAAGAGCTGTTCTTATTCCCGACCTTAAAGACAGCTCTTTGAAATGTGATACTTAAAGAGCAGTAGGATGTTCTAGCAGCGGTTCTGAAGACAGGGCTTTCCTGGTGGCTCAGTGGTAAAGAATTCACCTGCCAATGCGGGAGATGCCAGTTCAATGGTTAGATGGTGTCACCGACTCAATGGACATAAATTTGAGCAAACCTCAGGAGGTCTTCCCTGTAGCTCAAATGGTTAAGAATCTGCCTTCAATACAGGAGACCCGGGGTCAGTCTCTGGGTTGGGAAGATCCTCTGGAGAAGGGAATGGCAGTCCACTCCAGTATTTCTGCCTGGAGAGTCCCATTGATAGTGGAGCCTGGCAGACTGCAGTCCGTGGTATCGCAGAGAGTCAGACACGACTGAGTGACTAACACTGCTACTACAGGAAACAGTGGAGGACAGAGGAGGCTGGTGTGCTGCAGTCCATGGGGTCGCAAGAAGCTGGATAAGACTGAGCAACTGAATAACTGAAGACAGTCATCATTACTTTCTTACCGCAGTTCCCAACGTTTCCACGGACCCCTCTACCCTCCCGCTGTCCTCTGTGCATTCAGCCATCCAAAATCTCTCCAGGGCCTAGAACAGCTCCTGGCACAAAACAGCACTTGGCTCAAAAGTATGTTATGAAGGCCTGACTCCCCCCAGAGGTGGGCCTCTGCCCGGGGTGCCCACTGGGGAGCAGCAAGGGGCTGTCTTACCGGTCTCACTCTGCGCCAGGCTGCCGAGGGCCAGCGCAAAAACCAGCACCCCCACGTAGATCACCTTGGGCTCCATAGCGGCCGTGACCTTCCTGCTCTTTCCAGAGGGGCCCGCGATCCAGGATGAGAGTGGGTCCTGGCCCTCGATCTTATACCGTAGGCTCTGTTTACTTTCTACAGAGGGCCAGATAACGTTTGCCTAAGGAGGGCCCCGAAACCTTTCATTCCAAGTAATCGCCACTGATTAGAAAGTGTTTCCCAAACGCGGCCAAGCCAAACTGACAGGTTTGCTGATAGAGAAAAATGCCTTATCTTGCGGTCATCGTGGTTGAAGGATTGGAGATTCAGAAAGTTCCTCTCTTATCCTGTGGGAGTCTCCCTGGTCATGACCTCTTCCAGCGCATGAGCTGTTCAGAGACCCTCCTGCTAAGCAAACAATATACTCACTGGAGGGTGATTCAGAGAGAGACGCCCACACCACACCGGGGACAGGGTCAGCAGTGGCCATGGGCTTCCCCCACGGTGGTCCAACTAAGTCAACAGCACACTCACGTGAGGGTGATTCATAGTGAGAGATGCCCATGTGATGCCAGGTACAGGGTCAGCAGTGGCCATGGGCTTCCCCCACGGTGGTTCAGGGAGGGACAGGGGATAGGTGAGGCCCGCCGGCCTGGTGTGGCCCTTTCCAAGTGGGTGTGCAGCTGTTTTCAACGATTTTCAGGATTCACGTCTCATGGAACCGCTGTGCCCGGACAAGAAGAGCAGAAAATACTAGGACCTGGACTTCAAACTTCTTTTCCCCATTTATTTGTCCTGTCAGGCTCTCCTCCTGGGAAACTGGTGCATGTGCAAAGCACCCATAGGCTCTTTGACCTGGCCTTGTCCTGAGGGGCCCCTTCCTGCTGGCATCCACATTGAAAATCACATATGTTCAACCTCCTACTTACACTGTGGCATTGTAGGAGCATTTTCACTTATTTATCTCAGTTAATTAAGGATAAATTACCTTATTTCTCTTCAAAATTATTTAAGATGATTTATCTTAAAAATCGGGCTTCTCTGGTGGCTCAGTGGTGAAGAATATGCCTGCCAATGCAGGAGACGCAAGTTCGATCCCTCCCTGGGTTGGGAAGATCCCCTGGAGGAAGAAATGGTAACCCACTCCAGTATTCTTGCCTGGGAAATCCTGTGGACAGAGGAGCCTGGCAGGCTATACAGTCCAAGGGGTTGCCAAAGTTGGACAGGACTTAGAGACTAAGCAGCAACACATCTTAAAAACTAATTAATAAATTTTTTTGCTTCATTCTTTCCTTTGCAATGGAGTCCTTTTCACAGTGAGGTCGTGTGTACAAGAGCTGACGTGACGCTGATGACGTATCGGGTGCTCCCTTAAGCAGGAGACCCGCATCTGGGAGGGGCTCCCTTGCTCGGGTCCCCCAGGTGCGGTCTCCTGACTCCGCACCCAAAGGGTCTCCTCTAGCCTCGAGTCCCCGCTCCCTCCCCAGCTCTGGCCCTTCCTGCCCTGCAGCTCTCACTACCTTCTACGGGACACAGTGATTTGCTTGCGCCCTGGGCTTGTTATTTACCGACCCTCTCCCAGCCCTCCAGCGGAGCAGAAGGTCCATGACACGGGGGGCTTCACCTACTTGGTGGGCTCAGGTGGACCCAGCACCTGGGGTGCCTTATTCAATAAATATCTGTTGAAGAATGAATGAATAAATATAGAGGAAATGTTTTCTCTTCATTGAAAGATTAAGCTCTGGGAAAACAGTCAAGCTTTGGAGTGAGACTGATTTTTCTTGGATGACCTGTTAAGTTTGCCTTGGGGGATCCCTCTGGGAGGGGAGTGGAGTCAGAACCGGGGCAGCCACGTTCTGAATCAGGCTCACCCCCAGCCCACCACCCTGGCTCCGGCTGCCAATCCCAAGACAGGGTCTCCAGGAGAGGCGCAATGTGCAGGATTCATGGATGCTTGTTGCTCACTCCTTGTGCATGTATGACTTTGACCTCATGTATGTGGCACGGCTGGCAGAGCCCGTGTCACTCTCAGGCCGTCCCAGACTTGCAGCAACGACTCCAAGACTCCTAGAAGACAAGGCTAACATAAGATCGCAGAATCATAGGATAATTTATGGTTCTATTTTTTTTTAAATGACCACTTGCTGAAGAAGGCAATGTATTGAATTGAGTGTTGGTCCGCTAAGGGGTTGTGTCATCTTGTATAAATAGTTTAAGTCCTCTTGGGTTTCACTTTTCTTACTGGAAAATAAAGTGGATGGACCCCAAGGAAGCTGGTGCTTGATCTAACCTGCCATCCTCTTGTGCTAGGGTTCTGGGGTGGAGGATGCCCCTGGTTTTGCATGCCCAGCAGACCTTCCTGCTTTTGGGATAAAGTTCTCCATCTCTGGGCCCCCACCCCCATCCCCACTGCCCATGGTGTGACTTGGCCTGACTTGTCCCATCCCCTCACCCTGTCTCCCCCATCCCAGAGCCACACTGGTTCTGCTCAAGGGCCAGTGTCTGAGTTGGGAGAGCTGGGTGTCCTCTGTCTGCTCATCCCATCAGCTCTCTGAGCCCTTGGGGGGTGGCGCTGCATTGGCTGTGTCCTGCCCTCATGTCCCCTGGCTTCTGGCCACTGTGGTGGAGCCAGCAGGACACGGGTCCTTGGGAGAAAGTCAGCAGAGTCACTCTGGATGGGCCGTGATCCCAAGTCCACCTACAGCCCCAGCAGGCAGTGTTCTCCACACAGTGGTCTTCTCCAGCCCCCCAAAACTGATCCCTCTCCTCAGTCCTCTGGCAGAGGGGTTCACAAACCCCAAAGAGAGGTCAGCACTGTCCATCTAATTTTCCTTTAATTTCCTGCATTGGGAGTGACAGGCCAGCTTATTGATACAGAAATTGCTACCAACAGTGACCCTCTTTCTTAATAGATCCTGAAATTGAGACCCAAGTTTGGCTCCCCAGACAGGTCTCCAGGCACAGGTCACAAACCCATCAAAGATGCTGTGGAGTGAAGGTAAGGCAGGGGACCTAAGGGGAGCATGAGTGGGGGGTGCATCTCATTTCCCTGGTAACAGTCAAGTGGTAAAGATGGGGGTCAGTTGGTTTCTTCCAAGAGCTACATAACATTCAAGAAGGAATGAAGAAATGGAGGACTGAGAGTGTGCTCCTGGGAAGAGGACAGTGGAAAGGCTTTCCTGCCTAAGCCCCCAGAGTGGCAGGGCAGTGAGGGTGGGGCTCAGGTCCAGCCCAGATCCTGGGTTTGCAGCACCAATTAGATGTTCATCATTTCCCGCTTCCTTACACCAAAGCCTTGACACTGGAGAGCAAAGAGTCAAACTCTAAACATGGGAGTGGGATGCTTGGGCAGAAAGATGAGAATGACAATTTGGGATCCTGAGCAAACGCCCTGACCCTTTGCCCCAGCAGAGGTGTTCCTCCTACCCCCGTCTGAGACCGAGCATCTTTCCTCTCCATAAACACTTCCACTGACCATTGCCCCCCACCCCCATCCCCAGCTCACATGGGATGCAGCCACAGGATGGGATCATCTCCACATCTCTGCATCACTTCCAGGTGCATGAGGCTGTGATGCCTCATAGCTCAGACAGAGGCACAGCCTGTGTCCTGGACAATTGCAGAGTGGCATCAGCAGGACTCTGGAAGGAAAGCATGTGGGTTGTTGGACCATAGAGGATGAGGTGCCACTCTCAGAGGACTGGCATCATAACACTCCCCAAGATTTGGGAGAGATGTGCTGACCAAGCACACGAGAGGCCGTGACTATCCTCAGTTCAGTTCAGTCACTCAGTCGTGTCCGACTCTTTGCAACCCATGGACGGCAGCACACCAGGCTTCCCTGTCCATCACCAACTCCTGGAGTTCACTCAAACTCATGTCCATTGAGTTGATGATGTCATCCAACCATCTCATCCTCTGTCATCCCCTTCTCCTTCTGCCTTCAATCTTTCCCAGCAGCAGGGTTTTTCCAATGAGTCAGCTCTTTGCATCGCGTGGCCAAAGTATTGGAGTTTCAGCTTCAACATCAGTCCTTCCAATGAATATTCAGGACTGATTTCCTTTAGAATTGACTGGTTGGATCTTCCTGCTGTCCAAGGAACTCTCAAAAGTCTTCTTCAGCACCACAATTGGAAAGCATCAATTCTTCAGTGCTCAGCTTTCTTTATAATCCAATTCTCACATCCATACATGACCACTGGAAAAACCATAGCCTTGACTAGACAGACCTTTGTCAGCAAAGTAATGTCTCTTCTTTTTAATATGCTGTCTAGGTTGGTCATAGCTTTTCTTCCAAAGAGCAAGTGTATTTTAATTTCATGGCTGCAGTCACCATCTGCAGTGATTTTGGAGCCCAAGAAAATAAGGTCTCTCACTGTTTCCATTGTTTCCCCATCTATTTGCCATGAAATGATGGAACTGGATTCCATGATCTTCATATTTTGAAGGTTGAGTTTTAAGCCAACTATTTCACTTTCATCAAGAAGCTCTTTCATTCTTCTTCACTTTCTGCCATAAGGGTGGTGTTATCTGCATATCTGAGGTCGCTGATATTTCTCTCAGCAATCTTGATTACAGTTTGTGCTTCATCCAGCCTGGCATTTCTCATGGTGCACTCTGCATATTAGTCAAACAAGCAGGGTGACAATATACAGCCTTGATGTACTCCTTTCCCAATTTGGAAACAGTCTGTAACCATCCTGCTAGTGGTTAACCAAGTCCTGGGTCGAAAGTGGCCAAGAATTCATGCAGCAGAAATATTGGAGTCCCACTCTCCTCTCCCCAAACATGGCAACCTCCCTACTCAAGGTGGTCTTGGGTTAGCAGAATCCCACCCTGGGATCTCAGCAGACATGCTCCCCCACCCCCCAGGCTTCATGAGGTCAAATCTGCATTCTATAAGTTCCAGGCACTGCACAGGCACGTTAGCTGTAGGAAGGTCAGTGATGAAGCAGGTGCAGGGTTGCCAGGCTCAGGGAGGTTTCACTATTGGATGGACCTATGGTATGAATGCTTCTCAACCACCCAGGGGTCCAACATCCCTCAACTCCACCCTCAACCATCCTCCCCAGGCTCCTGCTGATGCAGTACTGCAATCTTTTGGGTACACCTGTCACTCAGGTGTTCATAATTGTCCTGAGAGGACACCAGCATCC